ATATTTGGCAATTCCGTTATTTTTTATTTAAGGAAATAATGAAAGAAATGAATAAGTCATTTATGATTAGTTTAATAAAAAGCTTATTATATATTTAGATAGACAAACATATTTTTCTAAGGATTATAAGAATGATTGTGGTGATGACACGTGGCTACAAAACAATGTTGTAATGCTTCTCCTTTAATATATAGGGGATTTGTTTTCTATATGTAACCGAAAAAGTAAATAAACTAAACACATCTCTAATTGGTGACCTTTAAATTAGGAAGAAAAATTAATTGGAAAAAATGAATAAAAACAAAATAAAAGGAATAAAATAAATATTTCTTATTTCTGTATCATATTAATTTGAGAAAAATGTTTTTTTTTATAGTTCCTTAAATTTTAAGGAATGACAGAATCATATATAACAAATGTTCGTAAATGAGTACTTGATTATTGCTCCTAATTCTCTACGTCACCATTTAGATCCATAGTAGCCAAATCAACTCTTTAATACTTTTTGACATATACCACATGTTACAATTTTCACTTTAAAATTTTGTTTGGTAGCGTTAACAAACAATGTTACATGTCTGCCACAAAGGTAAAGATAATATTACAAGTGAGAAAGTCTATCTTCTTGTTTTTGTGTCAGAGAGCATTAGACTAAACTTTGGAGATGGATTTTATTCCTAGCTGCTGCTTCTACTACGGCTTCAAAGCCAATTTGCTGAACGCAGAATTCACTTTCTCCTCGGTGATTGATCTGTAGTTCTCGTAGAAGTCCAGAATCTCCATGGCAATGTTCTTCACCTGTAAGGTTTCAATGCCAATGGCAACTAAACCACATAAAACCAACAGCTTCTAGCTGGACATTAACTTGAATAAATGCAACATTTATGTGTGACTGACCAAGTTCATGTCTTCATGAAGATCTTCAAACCATGCAGTGATATCTTTATCTCTGTGGACACTTGCTATGTATATGCAGGCTAGAGCTATGCGGTAAGGAGGGTGTACAAGGATGAGGTCCATCTTATAAGTATCATTTACAATTCCCCTGAAACACAAAAACAAAACTCTCGTTTTAGATGATACTTAGACAGGTCAGAGTCTAAATAAGATTCTAGTGTTGGACCTATGAAATGAATTCTACGCAGAACTTCTTGGTGAGAACTTTACCATGTAATCTGGTTCATATTTACATCGTTTATTGCAGCATCTTGTAAAAACCTGAGAAATCAAAAGAATGAGACAAAAAAAAAACATGGAATGTGAAGACTGCACATGTATAATCAATCACTTAACACTTCCAATCACATCTTCTAACATAGCAACCGCTGAAAACAAGACAAAACATATTCATATTACATATGCCTCTAAAAGGCAGTAAAGAGAGAGGTAAGAACATACTGAGATAAAGAGCGGTAAGGGTGAAACACAACGAGATAATAGTTGAGTGCTTCTAAGACCTTCATCTCCATTCCTAACACATCTTTTAGTTCATATTTATACTCATCCGGATCTGCAAAAAAGATAAAGGAGTCATTGTTGGTATAAACTTTTGATACCAGAGTGAAAAGAGTAAAAAAAAATGAGAAGAAGACAGTAGAAGATAAATGTTACACAATTTTTTGATGTAAAAAATGACATTCCTGGCCTGAACTATGCTTTCTTCAGCCTTAGATGCCAGGTACATGCATGCAAGAGCAACAAGACGGGGCTCAAATTCTACCATGCTCTTTCTGAGACAGTATAATAACAGAAAGACAGATATTAAAGGATAAGAAAGCTGAAACACTTTGATATGTATTTGATGGTATGTAACTGCAGAGCAATAAGACATAATTAACTGGAGGAATTATTAAAGTCAAAGAGATGCAATTTGAAAAGATGATAAAAGAAACAAGGGTTGCATACCTGGTGTAAACCCGTCTCATGTAGGTAACAGCGGTAGCCACAACCCTACATAAGTTGATAACAAAGGCATGGTAATACTCTCCAGGTTACACAAAAGAAAGAATAAAAAGCAAGTGGTGTAAGAGATGCAACATGTGAATATAAAATTCAGTGTTCTAAAAATCGGTCTAGACAAACCGGGTCTCAACGAAACGATTTGTCCAAACAAATTTTCAAAAAGATCACCGCCTAAACAATAATCCAGTATTAGACCATAACCACAACCTAGCAAATTCTTGAACACTGATAAAATTAGATCACAGAAAATGCAAAAAAAAAAAGACAGACCTTTGCCTGACTTTAATGTGCTGAGCTAATTTCATCATATCTGAAACAACACAAAAATGCATCAGCAAAGAATAATCCACTAAAAAACCACTTTCTTTTGATAAATCTCTAAACTTTTCAGACAGATATATACTTCTGGTTAGTTCTGTAATACCAGGAAAATAAAATAACATATTTTGATAAAGTTGTGCATACAGATTACAGAGTCAACCCATAAAAAAAGTCAAGTAGCAATAAAGAAGAAGAGGATGGTATCGTACGATTACACATATGGAACTTGATAAGCTTAAAATCATCTACAGAAATTCCACGTTCTTTGTCTAGAGCATGAACTACATCCACTTCTTCTTGCTCCATAAGCTGCTTGCTGCTCGTAACAACCACCAAACACAGAACAAAAAAAAAGTTTGAAAAATTGAACTTAAAGTAATCATCATTAGGGGTAAAAAGAAGGTTTAACTAGTGAGACGAATTCCAGAAATTGGCAGCCATTAATCTCCGAGAGAGGGAAGAAAACTTCAATCTCTTCTCATTAACTTTCAAAGTTTCAACTTTTTTTTTTCTTTCTGTTATCTGTCAAATCTTTTGAAGAGTCTCTCATGATCTATCAAATCATATTAAATCGCTACTTTAGTTTACTAAACATCATTAACGCTTAGCCCAGACTCGGCCCATGTTTGGCCCATACTTGGCCCAACAGATTTTAGTTCTAAATGACACCCTCATAATCCCTTGGCTAATGATAATGCTTTAAGGTGAACTAGATCTTGACCCGCGCACCGGCGCGGGTTTAACTTAATTTGAGAAAATGTAATAAATTCAGAACTCATCGATTATTACTGTGTTTAAGATATTGTGATCCACGTTGTATGTGAACTATCATATTGAATATAATAGGACTGGGTTGTGATTTTCGGTTCAGCTTTTATTAGGTTCTTTACGTTCTTAGTTTTTTTNTCCGACCCGTAATCCGACCCGAATTATTGTTAAAAACGAATATTCTTAAATATTGTTAGTGACTAAAATTAATTATATTTACGATTTTAAATAAATAGCAAATCTTTGTAACAATAAATACCAGATCTTATTAAATATTGATATCTATGTTTCCAAACTTACTTATTTTAAATACTGCTATCCATGTTTCCAAACAAAACTTTAATAAGATAGATGTTCTGTTACCTAAAGATTATGAACTTGGGCATGTTCCTAAGCATTCTTGTGCCTCTATGGTTAGTAGGATTTGAGAGCACCAATACTCCTCGTTTCATCTTTTATTGTAGTCATCAGCTTATATCACTCCCGGAGTTTTCTGTTGATTGTCATTGACTTTCATAATAGTTAAAGGTTGCAGAGGATAAATCTTAGCTGGCTCTTCACCGTCTCCAAAGCAGCAGATACACTAGACAACGAACATCAACCTAGTTTGGATGTTTCTGCAGAGAAGATGCTCAAAGAACAAGGTCATCAAGCGTCTTCAGATACTGTTTCTGAGGCTACCTGACGCTGCATTGCATCTATTTATCAGTAATGTGAGAAAAGAAATTGGCAATAACAGAAAAGAATCAGGATACACCATTTTAGTTGACAAAGTCAGTATTAAAAGAGTTTTCCCATTTATAACTTAACATAACAATTGATATCCAACTAAATGATAGGGGCCTTCTTGAATAATCAACTTTGTCTTCCAACAAAGTAAAATATTCAAACCAAGTCCCTTCAATGTAAGGTGGTTTGGTAATGTTTGATGTATATCAATCATCTGGTGGATGGAAGGAACACTCGAATCAGCTCTCTCGCAGTCACCTTTTTCCTACAAGTAGGACACTTCCCTTGCTTAGATATCGCCATCTTTATACATCCCTTGCAGAAGATGTGACCACACTTGGTTGTCATCTCCTCCGTAAACGGACACATACAAATTGGACATGAAAATTTAGGCTCCTCTGGTGGAAGAGGAGCTGAAGCAGGAGCCTTTGAGGTCTCAGGGACATGCTCACAGTCGATGACAGGTTGATTAGGAGGAACCCTTCTCCTTTTGTTAGTTGTTGTACCACCTGTATTTACATGTACCAAGTAAGAATAAGTATACACACAAAAAAAAATGTAAAGTTCATTAACTCATATCCATCACAACAGAGACAACAACCACAAGAGTGTAAAGTTCATTAACTCACCTGACTCAACACGCCTCCTACGTGAACCTGATGATTTACTTACAGCCTGGTAACAAAAAAACAAACAAAACCGGTTAACCTTTTTACACAAAAACAAAGCCTATCCATCACTACAAAAGGAGCAATACATACTTCAGCAAAATCACTAGCGGATGATTCAACAACATCATCATCAATAGCATCGACATCAATCATGGTGGTGGGGACAGGCAGAGAAGGTAGAAACCACCTTAATAGGTTAACACTAAGGGACGTCTCTTCTTGATCTCTAGGCGCCACGTTAAGATCAATCAACGCTTTTAACCGTCGAAACCCACGAGTTGGCCTCACCTCTTGTGTGTTGTTCATCTCTCTCAAAACTCTCAGATTAGCCAAAACCTTTTTTTTTGTTATGCCAAAAAAAGGATTCAACTTTATAAACTCTAACGACGCTACCAAAACAAATACAATTGAAACATTGAAAATAGATTATTTAATTATCGAGAAATCAACAACAAACGATTAGTAACTCAAGGACCTATTAGATTGAGTTGATTCTAGGTTTGAGATACTCACCGTGACGTGAATTTTGCTTTGGGAATATTGCTTGAGAGAATAAGGAATCAAGTATATTCTTTGTGCATCTAGGGTTTTTTGAAAGTTGTAGGAGCGTTCTTACAGGAGGAGAAGAGAAGAGAAAGGGGACAGGATAATTTTGAGTTTTTATAAAGGACCACGGGGTAGGTGAGTCAACGGGATTGTGACACGTGTAAGAGGAAGAAGTTGTGGTCTTGTGGGAACCCACAAGTACGAAACGACACGGTTTTGTTTTATTGTGTTCTGATTGACTTTTTATTGCACTTCGTGGTGTTTTCATCGTACGGTGATGTTTCTACCAAAAAGCGTAAATGTCAAAGTTAGCCCGCTTAAGAAGCTGGAAAAGCCCATTGGGCTTAGTGATTTTAACTTTATTCAGCCCATTTGTGTTAGTGATTTTTCTTTTCCAACTTCAACTTCTATTTTCCGACCGATTTCGAGTTACATTCATTACAAAACCTGATTAACATATCTTTTTATACCAACTTTTTATTCTCTCTCTCTCTCTAGATTAGTAAACAACTTTTCGACTTTTTATGCTTTCTACTGAAAGTCCTCTCAGATCCTGTCCTAGCTCATCTTCAGTGAAACCTTCTTCAGTTTCTTGAATTTAATTTCCTCTTAGTCCTAACCATTTTTGAGTGATATAAGAAATGAGTGAGCACCGATTCCTTGAAAAAACTTTCAGATGATTTGCTGATATCTTCTCAACCTCCGATCTGGGTTTTGGTTTTAAGTTCATACCCACTAAATAGAAAAAAAAAATCAGAAAATTAGAGCTAGTAATTAAGATTTAGGGTAAAGGAACAATCTTTTTGTGGAAAATTTTGGAAATGATTCAGCTACTGTTTCTAATTCTGTTCGTGGAAGGTGCTATTACATTCTTGTTACTAATCAAGATTGGTCCTTTGAGGGAGCTTGTGATTAAAAGCCTTGACCAGATGAAAATGGGGAAAGGTCCCGCCACTGTGAAAACCATCGCTGGAACCATGGCTGTTATCCTCTTCTCCAACCTCATGAGCATTGTCAAGATCCAGAACAAAGGTGCAAAGCTCGGGACTATGTCTCCTATGGATCAGGTTCTTTGGAGAACCCACTTGCTTGAAGCTTCTCTAATGGGTCAGTTCAGTTTTGCGGAACCATAAGGTTTTGTTAGTGATTAATTTAGTTGCTGTGTTCTGGTTTGCTTATGTGGTGATTAGAATTTATTCACTCTCCTATCAATACTTATTTTGGCTCTTTAAATTTTTTTGTTTTAAAAAATTGTTGAGCTTTGCTTAATGATTAATTCAGTTGAAAATTTAGTTGTTGAGTTCTGGTTTGCTTATATGGTAATTAGAATTAATGAACTCTCTAATCAATACTTTTTTAGCTGTTTGAATTTTTTTGTTTTAAAAAAATAGTTGAGCTTTGCTTAATGATTAATTCAGTTGAAAATTTAGTTGTTGAGTTTTGGTTTTGCTTATGTGGTAATTAGAATTTATTCACTCTCTTTAAAAAATTTTAAAAAATAGTTGAGCTTTGCTTAATGATTAATTCAGTTGTTGAGTTATGGTTTGCTTATATGGTAATTAGATTAATGAACTCTCTTATCAATATTTATTTTGGCTCTTTAATTTTTTTTGTGTTAAAAAAAATAGTTGAGATTTGCTTAATGAGTAACTCAGTTGAAAATTTAGTTGTTGCGTTCTGGTTTGCTTCTGTGGTAATTAGAATTAATGAACTCTCTAATCAATACTTATGTTAGCTGTTTGAGTTTTTTTGTTTTGAACCTCAAACCTTAATGATTTTTTGCAGGAGTGGTACTGTTTCTTGGCTTTGTGATAGACAGAATGCACCATTACTTAAAAAAGCTACTCAATTTAAGAGGCAACGTCGGATCATCTAAAGAAGAGCTTGAACAGCTTCAGAAAGAGAGAAGCGAATTAAAGGAGAAACAGGAGAAGGCATCCAAGGAAATCAAGGAGCTGCAAGAGAAACTGTCATCTATGTCAGAGAGACTTAAGAGAGCAGAGACCGAGTGTAAGGAGAAAGAGAAGAAGGTGGAAGCAGCTGAAACACATGTCACGGCTCTACAAAAACAGTCTGCAGAGCTGCTTCTGGAGTATGATAGTTTGCTAGAAGATAACCAAAAGCTCCAAAGTCAGATTTTGGGGAAAACTAAGAGCTAAATTGTAAGATTTTAGGGAGTGTTGTTGTTGTTAACAATGGTTGATTGAGAAAGAGAGTTTTTTTCTTTAATGGAGGGTTGAAGTTAGCATTTTTGTGTTTTTGAGTATATGGTTGATGTTGAATGTCTTATGAAACTTGTTCGTGCTGTCTATATCGACTCTTTTGGAATGTGTTTGTTGACAGTTTTATCAAAATTGATCTTGACTGTGACAAAAGAATGATTGCTGCAAAGATTAATTTTAGATTTTATATTACAGATGAGATGTTAAATGAACAAGAACAATGCGGCAATTACTCAATGGAGATTATTAAAAAATGAAAAAAAATATATAACGCCGACTGTGGGGATCGAACCCACGGCCACGGGATTAAAAGTCACGCGCTCTACCACTGAGCTAAGTCGGCTGCTGATGTACAGAGTTTCTTTTATATATATAATCTTAAATTGAAGGAGAAATTTACACAATTACTGTAGAAGCCGGAAAACCGGATCGACATAGACGATATAAGAAAGACGGAGTTAAGGAAAGAAACGATTATATGAAACACGGAGGCGAGATAAATCTCTTTCCTTAACTCTTAATATTCGCTCCGTAGTGAGACGAAACTGTACGAATATAGAGTCCCAGGATACAACCATGGCAGACGAATCACGCTACACTCGTGAANCGGAGGCGAGATAAATCTCTTTCCTTAACTCTTAATATTCGCTCCGTAGTGAGACGAAACTGTACGAATATAGAGTCCCAGGATACAACCATGGCAGACGAATCACGCTACACTCGTGAAACGACCTAACGAACTAAAAATTCTACGAACACTCTCTTTAGACTTACGTTGAGAGATTGCTGGATTTTTTCTGTGTGAAGCGATTTGAAAAAGTGATGAATGAATGGGGAGGAGAGACCATATTTAAAGAGGAGATGAGGAGCGGTTTTCGAAACTGTTACAAACGTTTTCCGGAAATCTCTCAAGGATCTGCAACTTTCTCCACAAGTTTCTCTCTTAGTTGACTCGTTCTCAACCATTTCGAACAGATAAATGTCGTGCCGTTTTTAAACGAACTACACGTCGTTTATACACAAATGTCATGCTGTTTTTTAGAAATGAAATGGCAAAACGTTGAGCTTAACTTGGCCAAAAAAGATAACTTCTATTTGGCCCTCCAAGCCCAAGCCCAAGCCGAGCCGGCCGAACGGCGGCGGCGGCGCGCGCGTGGAACACCTTTACTCTCTCCAAGCTGTTTATTAAGCTTAGATGAGTGAGCATATATATATTGCTCATTTCTTCCTCTTCTCCCCGATGTGGGACAAAATGTCAAGTTGACATTTTAGCTCTCTTGGGCTTGTGTAGCCCATCCATTTCTTTTCACATTTTGATATAAAAGTCATTGGGCTTTTATATTTTGATCCAACAATTACATGTGTGTTTTCATTTGTGCTTGTAACAAAGGTTGATCCTGTTATCATTTTATCAACACTGTCCAGCTTCAATCACTTCTCATGATTTACCAAAGGGAACCCAGTTTATTTCTAACCTTCTTGAGCCATTTGCTTCTACAAGGTTCCCACAGTGCGTTTGGGTAATAATTCAATATCAGTGGCTCTTCATCAAGTTTGCAACTGTTTGGAGAAAGGCAAAACTGATGATTCAGCTTCTAGTCTACTCCGATCTTGGCTGTCTTTATTGATAACAACTGTTTAAGCCCACTTGTGTCTTCTTATTTAAAATCAGAATCAAATGGTGAAACTTGTGATGAGAATTTAGTCTCAAAAATTTCCACGTAATATACTGATATTGATTTTATTTAGAGTCCACATAATATAAAATATAAAAATTTATATTTTTTTTAATTTTAACTCCCTTTCGTGTATTTAAAGTTGAACCGAAAACTAACGTTACAGTTGGCAAAGCTAATTAACACCAAAACAGGGAGTAAGAGTGAAATTAAATAATGAAAAAAGCGAATATCGAAATAACCAAAAAAACAAAGAGTTGATAATTGGTTATAATAAATAATAATAATTGAACAATTAAGGAGTAAAAATCGCGAGAAAAGAGGATGCACGAACTACAAAGCGTGCTTCGCACTGAATTGTCTTTCTTTATCTTCTTCAACACACACAACAAAAGGTTATATAACACTTATCTGTCTCTCCTCACAGATATAAATATTCACCACTAGAGAAAGAAACTCGCCGCTTGTGTTTTTTTCTCTGTCTCTGAAGGTAGAGAGCACTAAGCACATACCTCGACCGCACAAAGGTCAGTGAGAGAAATGCTATTTAAGTATTTATATATATGTATATGCGTGCGTGTATTAATTTATTTTTATATATTTCATTTTTCTTTACAGTGGAAGAAGATACGATGGTCTACGGAGAAGATCGGTATATTCATTCTCTTATCCTTCTCCATTTTTTCTCTTTTTTTTTTTGTCTCTGAGATTTTACTGAAAATCGTTATGAGATTTTTTTTTTTGGCTCTGACATTTTTTCTGGATGTGTAGATTTGTTTAATAATTGGGAACTCTCAGATATGCTTTTGAGACTATTCAGTCTTCACAACATGTAAATGTACTATGGATTTGATTATGTTATGCAATAAAAAATTTGCAGTAGCCTCTCATGGAATTGGCAAAAGCAGTACCAACCACAGTCTAATTTCTGTAAGTTCTTACATCATTCAACACTTTGTGACAATCATGACTGAATCGTTATATAACTCTCAGCTGATGTGACGGAGTGCATGATGACTGAAGTCACATTAAACCAAGAAGATCACTCTTACATGTTTGATGATGATGATGATGATGAATCCACACCAGTCAAGGCTTGTAGCGAGTCGGGTTATCATGTCACACTCACAACAGGTTGTTCTCTTTTTTATCTCAGATGTCTATGTTTCATGATGGTTTTTCTAGTCTATAATGAGTTTGTGCTTTCAGATGAAACAATCAAGAAGCTGAAAGTGCAAAGAGAGACACGCTATGCTGTTAAGAGACGTCGAATGTTACAGTTCAAAGACCAGCCTCTGGAAACAACTCTTTTCAGCAGTGAGAGTTTCTCTTCAATCTTAAGATCAAGCGTGAGTTTATACATACAAAATCTAAGCTGCATTTGATAGCTTAAGGAGTTGCATATTCTAATACTATCTTTGATGTTTCTTCTATGAAATGTTCAGGCTAGGGAGGAAACATTTGATGAGCTTATAGAAGATGCTTCTGCCTCAAGCTTCAATGGCCTTGATCTGTATGCTGACTACATAAATGATGCCGAAACACCAACTCTACCTGATGACTTGTATTGTTTCAATCTTTCTTTTTCACTTTAGTCATCTTATTTGCTTCATTTAACTGATTACTATTGTTGCTTTCTCTCAGAAGCTTTGAATCCAATGATGTCCATGTAGATATTTCAGGTCAGGTCGCTTTGTTTTAGTCTCTCTTCTTTAGATTTTCTTGCTAAAGTCCCCTGTGTTTGGCGCAGAGTATCTAAATCTGCCACCAGAAACAGAAACTAAGGAAGTTAGGAGGCCAGTGACTCGTTCTTCTCCAAATGTTATATTTAAAGGTAATAAAGAATAAACTCTTTTCCAGTTACAAAAAAAAAGAATAAACTCTTTTCACAAATGGGTCTCATAGTTACACACTGAGTTAAAATGGGGATATAGCAGGTAGAAAATATAGTGCAAGACCAGTTCCAAAACTAGCATCGTCTATCATCTATCCATTTGCATTTATCAAACCGAGCGGTGTTCATGGTGACATGACTCTCAAGGACATAAACCAGATAATCCAAACTCCACCAGCAAAACCAAAGGAAAACAAAGCAGAGCCTCCAGTGTTACAAACTTCAGCATTCTCTGGCAAACCTGTAGTTGGAAAGACTAAGATCCACACAGAAGGTGGTAAAGGAAGCATCACAATAATGAGGACTAGAGGCTAAGTTATAAGTTAAGTAGAAAGTATTAGTCAGAAAAAAAACATTCTGTCTTATTCTCTGAGGCCCTTGAATGTTTTTTACCGGATATAGTTCCAGTCAAGGGGCATTAATCATGTTCTTGTTATGTTTTGTTTTGGTATATCTCTAGTAAGAAAGTGGAAGTAACCAATGCCAATGTCGTAGGATATCTTATCTGTCTGTATAAAGTCTCTGGTTCTTAATGTAAGCTAGACATGACAAATGCTCGTTATTTCAATTTCATTATTTAGCCACGCTTAAGTCGAAAGATAAAAGATGAACTGGGATATAAATAATCTGGAACTCTTTTTCGTCAACAGTAAATAAATTGGAATTCGAGAAGGAAAATATAAGGGCAAAATCTGATACAACACCTAAGTAAACGTAAAAAAGAAGAATCATAGGACTGCTCAAAACAAGCAAAGACAAACCACTAGTGATTATGATCTCAGTACTTAACTGGTGCAAGAATCTCGAGCTGTGTTCCAAGCTTCTCTTCAGCGACCTTCTCGGCCTTGACTCTAAGTTTGTTAAGTAGCTTCTTCCTCTCGTATACCACTTGAGATCTCTCTTTCCTCTTCGCCTCCAGCTCCTGTTCATTCAAAGTTATTACATGAAACCTCATAAGCTAGAGAGCTTTTCTTCTAACTAAAACATATGCTTGCTTTATCTATTACATCTATGTAGGAACAAAACTAGACACATTCTATTAGCTAAACATCAACAGAACATAAACTGGTACAAGCAATCAGGGCCAAATGAGGTGGGAGAATGCATACCTTGATGGTGTCATAGTGGTTCCACCCGACTTCAGAAGAAAGACGACCCAACAGACAGTACTTGTGGCCAGCTTGCAGCCTCAAGACCCTGAAGTAAAAAAAGAAAAAAAAAATTATTATAGTACAGAAGAATCAATTTAGTGAAACCAGTAAAAAAAGAAGAGAAGAGTCAAAGAACATACTTGAGAGCATCAGGGATAACCATCCTCTTGACTTTGTCATATGGTGGAGGCACACCTTCAAAAACCTTCATGCGTGCAAGTGCAGCAGCTCCACGCTTCGTTTTATGTGGAATCATACTGCAAAATCAAACCACAGAAACAATCACTCACCTAAAATCATTACAAAAACCTATAAGTTAAATATATTAAATCATAAATCTCTAACATTCACTAAGCTAAAATTGTTACAAAGCCTAAACTTTTAATGTAACAAATCCTACATCTCAAACATTCACTCAAGATCTATCATGATAGCAAGAAAACGTAATAGCTTCCGTGTTACGTTACAAAATTAACACACACTGACACATTCACTCAGACTTAATCACTTAGAAACCAAAGCTTTGACGGAAATAAACCAAAACATCCACTCAGCTAAAAACACTTCAAAACATTAACTTTTGACTCCAATAAATCCTACTTCTATAACATTTGCTCATGATATATCATCATATCTCACAACTACAAACACAAACTGAATCCATACAGGGATCTCTAACATTGAAAACAAAATGAAATAGCTCCCGTGTTACGTTACACAGAAACATTCACTCAGCTCTAACAACTTAAAAAACCAAAACTTTGACTGTAATAAACCAAAACATTCACTAAAGATCTAACATTCAATCAGCTCTAATCACTTAAAGACCAAAACTTTGACTTTAATACATCAAAACATTCACTCAAAATCTAACATTGAGAACAAGAATATAATCAGCAAAATGCAATACCTTCCGCGTTATGTTACACAACTAACACACACAGAAACATTCCCTCAGCTCTAATCACTTAAAAACAAAAACTTTAACTATAACAAACCAAAACATTCACTAAAGATCTAACCTTTAAACGAAACAAGAGAGCTAGAGAGATTCAGCAAATGTCACTTAGCTCTAATCACTTAAAAACCATAACTTAAAGTGTAACAAACCAAAACATCCACTAAAGATCTAACCTTTAAACGAACCAAGAGAGCCAGACAGAATCAGAAACATTCACTAACCTCTAATCACTTAAAAAACCAAATCTTTAAGTGTAACAAACCAAAACATTCACTAGAGATCTAACCTTTAAACGAACCAAGAGAGCTAGACAGAATCAGAAACATTCACTAACCTCTAATCACTTAAAAAACCAAATCTTTAAGTGTAACAAACCAAAACATTCACTAAAGATCTAACCTTTAAACGAAACAAGAGAGCTAGACAGATTCAGAAACATTCACTAAGCTCTAACCACTTAAAAAACCAAAACTTTAAGTGTAACAAACCACAACATTCACTAAAGATTTAACATTTAAACGAAACAAGAGAGCTAGACAGATTCAGAAACATTCAATAAGCTCTAATCACTTAAAACCCAAAAATTTAACTAAACATCCAACATTTAAACAACACAGATATCTCTAACATTGAGAACAAAAGTATAATCAACAAAATGTAATAGCTTCCGTGTTACGTTACACAATTAACTCACACAGAGACATTCCTTCAGCCCTAATCACTTAAAAAAACAAAACATTGACTATAACAAACCAAAACATTCACTAAATATCTAATTTTTAAACGAAACAAGAGAGCTAGTTGATTAATACACATTTCCTCATCTCTAATCACTTAAAAAACCAAAACTTTAACTATAACAAACCAAAACACTCACTAAACATCCAACATTTAAAACAACACAAGAGCACTAGATAAATTCCACGAACCCACGAACAGTACGCCAAAAGATCTTGGAAGGAGCACGGAAGTGAATAGGCCCATGCGACGGCTTAGTGTTCATACGTTTACGAAGGAACCTCATATACTTCATTTTCTGACGCACAAGTCCACCAGAGAGACAAATCTCCTCGCATCGGACAATGACCACCTTCTGTCCATTCAGAAGCTCCTTGGCCACGATGGAAGCAAGGCGTCCGAGCATGTGGTGCCGCGCGTCGACGACCACGCGCTTCGAGCAGATCCCTGATCCCGACACCATTTTTTTTTGCTCTTCTTGTTTGTGTGTTAACGGCTGTGTCGTGAAAATTATATTCGAGTTAAGTGGGTTTTGACCCTAGGGCTTTCGGGGGTATTTTCGTCTCTTTTGTTTTATATTTTGGAAATGGGTTGAAGAAATGCCCATCAGTCATCGTACAAAGCCCGTTAATAATTAAATTTGGCATAGTCTGATCCTCAAATATTGTGGATCTATATTTCAAAGTCCGATCCTAAACGAATTAGATAACTTTTAGAAAATTTTCGAGCTTTTAAAAAACAAGAAAAAAAAATTGAATACATTAAATAAAGAAAAAATGACTAGAATAACACTAAAATAGCTTTTGTCACAAATATAACACTTAAGAACAAAAATGACCAAAATAATACTTAATGTTTTATCAAAAAAGATAAATATACATTTATATCCAAATGATAAATTAATTTAGACATTAGGGTTTAGAGTTAAGGGTGAGATTTAGGGTTTAGAGTTTAGGTTTTAAGGTTTAGAATTTAGGTTTTAAGGTTTAGAGTTGGGGAGTGAGGTTTTAGGGATAAGATTTCAATTTTTGAAAAATAAAATAAAATTAAAATTTTCAAAAGATAAATGCTATTTTAGTTTTTCAGGGCTATTTTGTGACATAAACTTAGAAATGTGCTATTTTGAAGATTTGCCCTTAAATAAAAAATCAAAATTAATTGAATTCGAAACTATATATATAAATGGGAGAGTTTTTGCCTCTCCCTCATGCAGCCACATCAGCAGTTCTCCTTTCTTAGTATGTTCCACAAAACTTAAATTCCAGTAATCGATTTATTCAGAAGAAAAAACTTAAATTTGTGCAAAACAAATCTCTCCAATCGACATCTCCTTCTACTTTGATCTTTTCGCCTTCCCCGAATTGAAAAATGAAACATTGTTCCTTTTCTTTATTGTCGTTAGGTTATTCTTCTCTATTTCTCTGTTCTCCTCCTCTTCCCATATATAAACTTTGTTACAGCAGAGCATTGATTCTCAGATTACCCAGTTATGTTCACTTAAGATTGAATCAGCTCAAGGATGTTATCAACGTTTATACGAAGGGGCTTGGCATCAATCCAAGCAAGTATTTGGTAGGAGATCCATAGACACCATCAAAATTACAATTTTTTTTATTGAAATACTAGATGGTGATGCAACTTTTGGAGTTTTATTGAATGTTAATTTCAAGACTCAGGCAGGTGAAGCAGCGATGGATCAGGAGGATAAGATGGTTGTGCATCCAAAGAACGAGCCTCAGGTAGAGAAAGAAACAAAAACCAGAGCATGAACTTGTAGCGGAGTTTGGAGAAGAAAAAGAGAGGAAACATAAAGCTTTAAAAAAGATAGAGATGGGGAACCGTGTGAATATAGATCGACATATACTTGTTTCATGGTTATGATTATCAGACCAGGTATGTCACCTTCCATATATATTTAATGTTCTACGCTTATCTTTGATTCATTCTGAATTTTCCAGGGAACCTCTATATGAACTCAATTCTCAAAGGGATAAAATGGAAAAGGTGCAGGAGTGATACTGCAATGGAAATATATCAGATGGTCTCAAATATGATCCTAAAATCAGGAGCCTCCCGGCGGTTTCACAAGGTATGCTACATGTGTAATGTACAAAAAATATCTTAATAGCTATGTAACGTGTTGTAAATCTACTCTACCCATGTGTCCAACAGGTCAACAAGGCAAACCATTGAAAAAAGACATATTAGATGCTTAGATTCTAAGTAGTTGTTATGTCTTCCTTTTTCGATTTAGAGAAAACCAGTGAATTTAGCTTCTTTCTCAATTCTTCCAGGCTAGGTAATAAGGAATGTAAGACCCGACAATCCAGCTCATTCTTACAAATCCAACAATGAGACAGGTAAATAAACAAACTTTGCTTCTCTAGATGTCTTCCGATTCATGATTCAATATTTGGTTCAATTTTGCTGGAGAAATCCTTGTTAATGTTAGTGATGACTCACAAAAATCCAACACTTCTCTTTGAACAGGTTTTGTCTGATTCCCAGGTTATCCTGATGAAATAAACCTAACCACATAGTTTCTACTTTTTGCAGTTTTTGGCTAATCTGCTATAACATCTTCTTCTTATATCAATTGTGTATTTATAAGACAGATTTGAATGGCTTACATTACTATATAGCCCAAAAATATATTTCACGAAAATCTTCAATACTGAAGATTGGTTATGGACAAGAAAAACAAAATATTTTTCTTTTACGCAGAAACTTCTTGACCCTTAGACGAAAGACCAGAGGATGACGCAAGTTTTTGGTGTTGAATGTTCACTTTGTGGACCCAGGCGGGTGATTCAGCTGAGGCTCAAGAGGATAAGATGGTTGTGACGGAGGTTGAGGAACTAGAGCCCGATTTGGAGAAGAGGAGAGGAGCTATTGGAAATCTAAAGAGAAAGAGAGAAAACAGTGAAATAAATCTTTTTTGTTTGCCAAAAAGAGAAAGAAGTGAAGAACAATAGTCACTACTTTTTTTGGCGGCAGTAGCATGATATGCTGTCGAAGGTTTATATTCGAAGGAAGAAGAATAAAGATGAGGGGGAAAGAAGTGTGGCGATGTCAAGTGGGGAAGATCATTCATCTGACGTGGCAGGAGGCCATTAGAAGTTTGTTACGTTTGTTAAGAGTTGTTAATGTGCCTTGTGCAGTATATAAGAGGACCCAATACTTTACGTTTGTTTTGTTGAGTCTTTGGAGGAGCTTAGCTCTCACAAGAATACATTCTGTAAATTGGCCTAGTCTCTATTTTGGAGACTCAGAGAGGGAGGTTGGGCTGTTATAATACAAAATATATATTGTTCTTATCAAAATATACATTGTTCTGTGTGGATTATAGGGCATTGAACAGGGCTACAGTGCAGGATAAGTATCTGATTCCAATGATAGATCAGCTTTTAGACGAGTTGAATGGTGCGAAGTTGTTTACTAAATTGGATCTAAGATCAGGATACCATCAGATACGGATGAGAGAATGTGATACAGAGAAGACTGCTTTTCGTACTCATGACAATCATTTCGAGTTTTTGGTTATGTCGTTTGGCCTCACCAATGCACCAGCGACGTTCCAGGCTCTCATGAATGATGTGTTTCGCAAATTCTTACGTTGGTTCGTGCTAGTGTTTTTTGACGACATATTGATCTATAGTTGCTCATAGGATGATCATGTGAAGCATATTGGTCAAGTCTTGGATGTTTTTGTGGAACATAAGCGGTTTGCAAATAAAAAGAAATGCGTGAGTAAGGTGGAATATCTGGGACATGTCATAACAAGTGAAGGTGTTGCAAATGATGGTCAAAAGATTGAGGCTGTTCGTCAATGGCCTAGGCCAAAAACAGTTCAGGATTTACGGGGATTTCTCGGTTTAACCGGTTATTACCGTCGGTTTGTCAAACATTATGGAGCTATAGGAAAGCCATTAACGGAGTTGCTAAAGAAAGATCAGTTTATATGGACAGAAAAATCTCAATCTGCGTTTGAAGAGTTGAAAAAGGCGATGATATCAGCTCTGGTGTTGGTACTACCAGACTTCTCAAAGCTGTTTGTGGTGGAGTCTGACGCTTCGGGTACGGGTTTAGGGGCTGTGTTAATGCAGGATCAGCATCCCATAGCGCTTTTCAGTCGTGGCTTGACACTCAAGGAACAACAAAAACCGATATATGAAAGGGAGCTCATGGCAATAGTCATGTCTATACAAAAATGGAAACATTATTTGTTGGGCCGAAGATTTCTGGTACGTACGAATCAACAAAGCTTGAAATACTTGTTGGATCAAAAAGAGATTACTTTGGATTATCAGAGATGGTTAACAAGGATATTGGGGTATGAGTTTGATATTGAGTATAAGGTGGATAGTGAAAATAAGGTTGCAGATGGTTTTTCTCGAATTGATCATTTGGAGCAATTGATTTGTTTGCGTTGACTATTCCTTCCTCTCTGTAATTGTTGGATTTGTATGCTGAAATTGATGGCAATGGGGAGATACAACAGCTAATTGGGAAGTTAACAGCTGGTGAGACTGTGAAGAATGGGTTTACGTTGGTTCATGGTCGCTTGTAAAACAAGCATAGACTTGTGATTTCAAGTTCTTATGTGTTCTTTCCTTTGATTCTTAGCGAGTGTCATGATAGCTTAATGGGAGGTCATGCGAGAGTGTTACGGACATTAATTAAGGCTACTTTCTATTGGTCTAAAATGAGGAAAATGATACAGGAGTATGTTGCTGCGTGTGAGGTGTGCCAAACGCACAAATACTCAACTTTATCTCCTTCTGGTTTATTACAACCCATTGAATTGCCAGGAAGAATTTGGGAGGATGTAGCTATGGACTTCATAGAAGGATTGCCAATGTCTGGGGGCGTTAATGTGATTTTAGTAGTGGTGGAAAGTTTGAGTAAATATAGTCATTTCCTCACTCTCAAGCATCCCTTCTCTGCGGTTGATGTAGCTCAGAAATTCATCAAGGAAGCGATTAGGCTGCACGGCTTTCCTAGGTCAATTATCTCTGACCGTGATAAGATATTCCTGAGCAAATTTTGGAAAGAATGTTTCCGTTCGTCAGGAACGCGACTACGCTTCAGCACAACATTCCATCCTCAGTTAGATTGCTAGTCGGAAGTGCTGAACCGTTGTGTGGAGACTTACGTCTACTCATCCAAAACACGGTCGAAATATATTTCTTGGGCTGAACTTTGGTATAATACATCTTATCACACGGCACTGCAGAGTACACCTTTCAAGCTTGTTTATGGCCGGGACCCTCCTACGATAATGCCGTATGAACAAGGTTCCACTCAGAATTTTGAGATAGAGCTGATGTTAAAGGAACGTGACATGTTCTTAGCATCTATCAAACAAAATCTGATACGAGCTCAAGCACACATGAAGAACAATGCTGATAAGCATCACAGGGATTTGGAGTTAGAAGTTGGATCCAAAGTTTACTTGAAATTACGA